TAATTCCATTGTTCCTTTCTGGCTACTTACTGTGGTAACCATACTGTTCTTCACACATTTCGTTGCAAATATTTAGTATTTCAACTAGATAATGGGTTAATAGCCTTTGAACGAGTGTGAGAATCTAATCAACATATATGTCATTATTCCTATGGGAATACTCGTTTCAAATGAGCAATTCATAAACAAACTTTCAGGAACATAAGAACTGTGAGTTGGTGACTTCCTGCAATTTGTTTATTTGAAACATGGATAATGTATGTGGCAAGTCCAACAGAAAGAATTATCCAGAGTCTTCTAGAATGGTTTGTCTAAGATAATTTTTTGAAGACTGCATATTCTTCTTAGAAATTTAAAGTTTTGACCTCTGGAATTTTTTGGGAACTTATATACATAAGAAGGCTCCTTCTGACACAGAGCCTTGGGGAAGAAGAGAAATGACATACATGATGACCCATATATTAGAATCTCATATGCATGCTTAAGATTTTCCAAAATAACTTCACTCTTTCTGGGAAGTATTCTCTTTAAAACTTCTTTGCTAACTAGAAAATGAACAGGTCCAGCTCCAAAATGCTTTGTTTCTTTCTGATCAGATCAAAGAATTTTCCAAATAAATAAAACTCTATTTCTAGATAGGAAAAAACAATCTTTACTATTATGAGGTTCATTGCAACAACAAAAGCTCAGTTAATCTAGAATCGTTCCAAATTGTCTAAGAAGTTTAAGATAAAGAGCATTAACGAGGGGTTGAGGGTATGGTTCTGTGCATATTCATATTTAAAAGAGAGACAGAATGTGTCCACCCAAGAAACCAAGATCTAGTTTTCAATTAGGTTAAGATGCCCATCTTGATACAAATTTTAAAAAGGTTCCTATTATAAAATATTATGATAGGCCAAATGTATGAGCTTTGTTGCTAAGTGAACTTGAGTCCAGAAAATTCTCATCTCCATTTATCAGAATTCAAGAGAAACATGTAATTAGGTCTTCTGAGGTAAATATGTTAATGTAAAACATCCAGGTGACTAGGATGGTTCATGGTTTTTCCTCTAAAATTGAAGGAAGCAATAAATATATGACATTATAAAGGACTCCAGTTTATACTATTTATAAGAACTTGAATTGACCAAACAAACAAACAAACAAACAAACCATGAACTTAGGTTCACATTCTATTTTGCCATTTTTCTGCCTCAAAATATTATTATTTTTGCAAGTTCGAAAAAGTATTGCATGCAGAATACACTTACAGATTATCGTGAATGGTAAATATAATAAAATGTATTAAATCACCCTATACATTGTAATTATATACAATAAACCCTTAATAATGTGCTTATTAATTTAAAAAAATTGTTATATAGGATGAAACCACTGGCACCCAATACCTTACCCTTCTAGGACAGCACCTAAGAGCCTGACTATGGAACTAAAAGCACAATAACTTGCAGTGCAGTTCTGCAAATGAGGGAAAACTTCCTAGGCTGCCCTACAAATAAACAGATGTCCTAAGAAACCCTGACTTTGTTCCATTTATCTTTGAAGGTATATCCAAAATGGCATTTTCAAACTTTAACGATAGTTTGCGATAACAACAGAATCCTTCAAGAGTTGCCCTAATCACATAGACTGCATCGAAAGCTTAACCAGTACACGTGCCTGTTAGCAAATGACTACCTTTGCTCACCCTCTTTCCCTTCACAGTCATACCACACAGGGCTCCCTATCATGTGGCATTCCTTAGGAAAAACACAACTCGATACCAACCACTGCCAAATAATAAAGACTGCAGTAATCGGTGAGTCAAATATCAAATTAAAATATATGTTTTTAAATCAAAAGATTTGAAAGGAATCATGGAGGGACAAACTACTGGTAAGATGTTTGAGGTCGGGCAGCCCAGGTGGCTCAGCGGTTTGGTGCTGCCTTTGGCCCAGGGGTGATCCTGGGGACCCGGGATCAAGTCCCAGGTCGGGATCCCTGCATGGAGCCTCCTTCTCCCTCTGCCTGTGTCTCTGCCTCTCTCTCTGTGTCTCTCATGAATATATAAATAAATAAAATCTTAAAAAAAAAAAAGATGTTTGAGGTCCCTGCAGTATTATTTCACTACCTTCTATGAAGTTAGCATCACTGGGGAGGTAGTAACCTTCCTCATCTATGACCAGGATTTCCAATAGGCATTGAATGAATGGAGCCCATATCTTGTTCCAACAAAACAAGAACACAAAACTAAACTATGAGCCATTCTGAAGAATCTTTGTTTACTCCTGTTTTACACGAAGTAGAGAAGTAGCTTTGAAAAGTTGCCATGGCCATGCTTTTCCTGCGCAGCAGACTAAAACACTTTGGTGAATATAGAAATATATACAGTGTAAATGTGGGCTCTCTCCTTTCCTTAATAATATATATATATATATATATGTGTCGACTACTACATGTGTGTGTAACTGTGTGTGTGTCTGTGTGTGTGTGTATGCACGCACCGATGCATATATGAAATGTACTGTTGAGGAGAGACATCATTTAACCATCTTAATGTTGGGTGGCACATTCTCAGAGCCCACTAATGTTTCAGCAGAGGGCTTCCATGACAGGATTTTAGGGTGACTTTTAGGGGGTTCCTTATATTTCCAAGGTTATTGTGATGGATAGAACGAACAGCCTAGTTGCCTCTAGGGATGAGTTAAGTGAAAAATAATAACTGCTCTGTCACATATTTGGAATAAGAGCAATTCAGAGGTGAATTCTGGGATGCAATATCAGAAACATATATATATTGCCAAAAAGACTAGCAACTAAGTTAAAAGGTTTTTGATAGGCAAATTGATTTCTAGTTAAGGTTCCTACCTGCCTTAAAAGGTCACTGAACCATTAAGATAATAAGTCTTGAAAAGCATTTAAGTATGAACTATGAGTAGATAAAAATGATTAGTTTCATATAAATTTCGAAGCCAATGGGAACAGCTGTCCATTTTCTTTCTCAGGGATTTGACGGAAGGCAACTGCGTCCATAGTGTCACCTCTAATTCAAAACAGTACTAGCATAGCATCCTTCATTAGATGAATTTGGCAGACTCAGAGCAATGGTGCTAATTCAGCTCCAACACACGTCTTTGTTACAGTTCTCCTTTCAGTTTAGGCAGCTCAGATAGGCTTATCATAGGGCTTTGAACTGCCTGACATTCTCGGATGGCACAATAGACAATATTCCCAGGAAAGTCATTAATGAGCGTCAATAAATATTACTTCCTTCAAAAAAGACACTTTAACTCCATAGTTTGCAAGGCAAGAAGTAAAAATGAAAGATCTTCTACTTGCCTGTGTAAGATTCAAACCTAATTAGGATGTATGCAGATTTCTCATTAGGAAATGCTACAAATGAAATTTAGCTGGAGAAACATAGTACCTCTATAGACAAAATTCTTTCTCTTTCTTTCTTTCTTTCTTTCTTTCTTTCTTTCTTTCTTTCTTTCTGAAGAGAGTAATCTACATGAGTTTAAACTGAAAAGTGTTACAGTAATACTCTTTCTGTTTGTCTTGCCTTGCTATTCAAAGATTAAATTCATTTTCTATTGATGAAAATGATTACATCTTAGGCCGTTAGTAATCTCAGTTTATTTAGACCTGTATTTTAAAGAACTAGCTTGAGAGCCCTTTGCAGACAAGACCCAGGCTCCATGACAAAATGATACCCAATTTCTCTTTTAAGGCTATTTTCTAAAATCTGTGGGCCATGACTGTAGAATTCTTCACTCCCTCAAATTACATTAACAATGTTTGACATCATGACAGAGAGAGCAAAAAGAATTCATTTCTCCCGAAATAAGTGGGCTATACCGTTGCTTTTTGAAACCATCCTTCTCTGATTCCATTTTGGTAAATTTCTAATGAATGTTTAAAATCTGTAGGACAGACCTTGGCTTAAGAGGTGGCCTCTCTGCCATTTTCATGGCTGATTTGAGACCCATTATGCACTCGATTCTGCATTGTGAAATCCAGGCTAGGGACAAATTTCTGCCTGTCATCTTAGGAAAGGCCAGGACTTTTGCACCATCCTTTAGTGTGAAAACAAAATCAAAGCCAGGGTAAGGCTGCCTGCTTCTTTCTTAATCAGCTTGATGCTTTTTTGAGGCAATCCTGGCTGTCACTATCTCGGGCTTGGAAGGGTAATTCAGTAGAATAAAATATAGTTTAAACAACATCTCCCCAGGGAAAGTTCCTTCTTACACTTAATATTGAATGCAAAAAGGTAATCAGTAAATAATCATTTGGTGCTTGGTTAGGAATCATTGCACAGGAATGCATTTAAGAAGAACAAAATTCTTTTTTTAACCCGGTAAGACCCTGAATCCAGGGCTAAGAGGCCCAGATATTTTCCTCATATTGCTCATTCCGTTGCAATGGCATCCTCCTATAACTATATCTTATGGACCAAATTTGCTGCACCTGTCACCCCAACAATAAGATGTAAATTGCAGAGATAAAAATAAAAGAATTTTTTTAAAAAAAAAATGTTAAACAGTTCACTGAAAATGACAGCATGGATAACTCTGTCAATGACCTCTCCTCGCTAATGTCAATTTCAGAAAACAAGTTTCCATTGTAAATGTTTAATCGGTGTAGTCCCAGGAACCCAGAGCAGAAAACCTTATCTTCTGTCCCAACTTATTTGCTCTGCAAGCTCTTTCTTAGCTCTATCTCTGCTCCCTGGAAGCACTTTATGGTTTTGTGGTTTGTTGTTGTTCTCTCTCTCTCTCTCTCTCTCTCTCTCTCAAGAGCTGGGAGCTCTGTAGGTTCTGAGCTAAACAGAAGCCTTGTGGTTTCATTCCATTAGTCTGAGCCCTGGTCCGCGGCAAGCGAGCTGCAGCATTGCTGCTTGCAAATCCTGGCAACCAGGTTCTAGACCAGAGCCACAAACACTGGCTGCACACATTCTTCAACGCCGTTCTGCCCAAACCTTGCCTGAAGCCAGTCAACCACAGCAGAAAGCATCCTACCTTCCATCATGGTGGCGGAATTGCATTCCTTAATTTCCAAGGAGTCTGAAAAAATACAGGAGGATAGGATTCCAGGTCCCAGCTAGGTCCTCGCAACGCTGCCGCCGAGAGGTGTGCTCCGTCCACTGCCGAAGCCAAACGAGACGAGTGTTAACCCCCAAGACAGGCCATGGATGCTGCTGGTGCCGCTTCACCTACGGGCTCCCGGGAAGATGCTGCGAGAGAAAGGGAGAGGAGCGGCAACCCGGCCGAGCTGCACCGCCTGCGCCGCCCTGGCCAATCCCTTCGGCGCTGGACCGCGTCACATGGCAGCCAGCCTGCGTCTCCTGACACAATACCCCGGGAGAGCACACAGAACCTATTTTCCGTCCCTGTTCCCCTCCGCTCCCACCCCTCCCGCTGGTCACCAAAGGCACGGCCCCTTCCCCACCTGGTGACGCACTTCCCCGCCCCTCCTCGTGGTCCTCTGGAGCCCCCTTGCAGCGGCTGGGTCCCCGCGATTGATTGTCAGAGCTGCCAGCTGGACGGGGGGCTCGGGCGCGCCAGGAGCACCTACGTGGCTCGCTGCGGAGGGCATCGGTTTGTTTTGCTTTGTTTTAAGAAAGACTTGCCAATAATTCCATGCACTCTGAAGTCTTAGCCGCACACTTCTAAGCTCCCATTCCCGTCGTCTTTGGCCCCGAAGGAACTCCAGACGTTAAGGTCTGTGGCCTCCGCACACGCGTGAGTCAGTCTCTCTCTCCCTCTCTCTCTCTCTCTCTCTCTCATCTCTGTCTCCCTCCCTCTTTCTCCCTACCTCCCTCCCTCTCTCTTTCAAGGGAGAAAGAAAAAAAAATCAATCCGGCTGACGTCACATCAGAAGCAATTATCCCCAAAAGGATGATGCAGAAGAAATTTCATCCCAGCTGCCTTCAGCAGAGCCAGGGAATTAATCGCGCGTGACATGCCCAAGGGCTGGGAAGTGTCATTAAAACAAAGAAACAAAGGAACCCACCCGAGTGGGGGCTCTGGAATCAACCTGGCAACGCTCGAGATCATTCCTGGGGCGGGGGGCGGGAGGCGGGGGCGAGGACCGCAGGCCCGGCGCCCGCCGCACCTGGACGCGCCCCGGTCCCCGCTCCGGGCCCCGCACGCCGCAGCCGCCGCCGTCCCCGGGCGCAGGGGCTGCGCCGCCAACCGCAGGCCCTGGAGGACACCAACTTTCTTCCAGAGCACACGATTTTTTCGCAGCGCGCCGTCGGCATCTGTGCGGGTCCTGCAGCCCATTCGTTCATCCCAGCGGAAATCCGGAGGGAGGCGATCGTGCGGGGTTCTGGCCCGGGGGTGGGGGGCGGGGGGCGGGGGCGTGGAGCTCAGGGGTCTGCAGCTGCCAGGGAGGGGAGGTGGGTGCCGGGCTGCTGCCTCCGCGGGAAGGGTGATGGCACCCGGGCTGCTGGGGCCGAGAATCTGCCCCCTGACCCGTCCCCAGAAGCCCCGGGAGCCTTCCGCGGGGCCTCAGGCCCTGGGGGCCCGCGAGCTGCGGTTCCTCGCTGGCAGGCTCCGGCAGCTAAGGAAGAAGCAGGCAGCGGCCTGTGCGAGGGAGGAGGAGGGGAGATCCGAAGAAAGGGAAGGTCCTCTGGAGAGCTCCAGGGACAAGCGCAGAAGTGGGCATTTCTCCCTCTGCAGTCCAGCAACAGCATTGGGAGAAAAAGCCGTAACAGCCCAGACCAACTGTGAGCATCAAATGAAAAGAAGTTAAGATGCATTGCGTGGTCAGGGTTGAGTCTCTAAGGCCATTATGAATCTTTTATGTTATAAATATATCCGCAAACTTTTAATATTGCTTAGTCCTTGACATCGTGTAGTTCTTTCTACCAGAGCAAATATGAGCTATTGCCAGCTAAGGATTAGGAAAGAAAATAGAACTCAAAAAGCTGACCGAAGAGCATACTAATAGTTAAACAAACAAACAAACAAACAAAACACCAAAAACTCAGTTCCTTAGCAACTTAGACTTTTTTTTTTAAACTCCTTATTCTCCCTAAGGATACATATTTCAGTAGCCTCAAAATTTCCCAATGACACTCTCCAGGGAGGTACAAATGCTTGTGCCTTTTTCCTTATATCTATGAGGCAGTTGAATTTTAAAAGAGAAAAGAATTTCAGAGCAAAAGCTATGTTGAGTACAACTCATACTGGTCTGAAAACCACAGGAACAAGATTCGTGTGTGTGTGTGTGTGTGTGTGTGTGTGTGTGCATTTAGCCAAATTTTCAGTAGTGGTTAAGAAAATGGATAAATACTGGCATCAAACACACTGGGATCAATTCTGTCCTTGCCACTTAATGAGGTCTGTGACCCTGTACAAGTTATGTAATTCTCTGTGCCTCACAGTTTCCTTATCTGTGAAGTGAAGATAAAAATAGTTCCACATTCATAGGGCTATAAATAGTAGCAATAACAAACCTTTATTAATGACTTATTATGTGCCAAGCAGTATTCTAAATACTTTGCCAGTAAATTACTTAGCATTGTGTCTGGAGCATAACCCCCCCCCCCGCCCCCAGCCCGTTAGCTTTTTAGTATCAGTGTTATCACCAAGGGGCTGCCAGAGGCATCAGAGAAATTTGTAGCTGAGAATTATACCACATACACAAAGAATAGCTTAGTGAAAGACCAAGGGATGCATCCAGAAGTGGAAGAAATTGGAGCCTTCTGAGGTTCCAGGGGACAGGTGTGTAGAAGAGAGTTTTGAAACAAAGGAAGTTCAGGAAGGTCCACTTTCAGAGATGGAATTTCAAAGTTCAAGGGAGAAAAAAAAATGGAATGGGCTTGGAGTGGCAGTTCTAAATCAAATAAGGAATCCGAAATAAGAAAAAGGGCTCAGAAAAAATCCTGAGGCAAGTGCAAGCACCAAGGTGTGGGGATAAAAATTGTCAGAGATATAACGGAGCAAAAGAACCAGAGAAAGCCAGGCTGCCTGCCTTCCCTCACCCATTATACATTCTACAGAGTATTAGGGCTAACTTCTCAGATAGATTTAGTATGGACACACATCAGTTTTGTCTTAGACATGCAGCAAGGCAGCTAGTTAGAAACAAAGACAATTCAAAGATTTTTTTTCATCAGTGGGGTGTTTATAGGAAAAAGAAGTATCTGGATATGATTGTCAGAGAAGGACCAAGAAAGGGATGTGGAGTTAAAGGTGGTAAGGCTAGTCTGGAGACTGGTTAAACTTTGTGCAACTTTCTTACCAATTGTAATTACCAATTGCTAATTATCCACTGTGAGAACACCTGATGAACAAAGTTCTGCTTCAAGTAAAAAAATTGCTCAAGGGATCCCTGGGTGGCGCAGCGGTTTGGCGCCTGCCTTTGGCCCAGGGCGCGATATCCTGGAGATCCGGGATCGAATCCCACGTCGGGCTCCCGGTGCATGGAGCCTGCTTCTCCCTCTGCCTGTGTATCTGCCTCTCTCTCTCTCTCTCTCTCTGACTATCATAAATAAATAAAAAAAGAAAAAAATTGCTCAAGTATGTTATGGAACAGTTAATTTTGTCTTCTCATAGGTTTTGGGGGGAAAATGTTTTTCTCAAGAACAAAGATAACACATTATATTGTGGCTCAAATTTCATTATTTCTTAGTACAGTTTTTGCTTACCAACAAGTACAAAGGAGAATTTTTAGCTGCTGAAATAATGGAATATTTTTTGCAAATTTTAAATGGAAGTCAAAGGATCTGTGAAAAAGATTGGTTAAATTACTAGCTTGCATCAAAGTGCCAGGACTGCCTTAAGGGATTTAGTCCAGGATGGTGAGTTTGCACCCAGATCATACTAGGCTCTCAGGTCCTACAACTAGTCCAAGACTAAAAACTTAATTGCTGAAGTCACTAGACATTGATTTTTTTTCTGAAATAATATTTGTATGGTGGTGATGCCCTGTTACACATGTCTTTTGGAATCAAATCCTATTGTATTCTTACTATAAAAGTTGAATTCCTTCACAATTTCCCAATTTTAGTGTTTGGGGAAAAATCTGTTCATAGTTCACAAAGAGAAAGAAAATCATGAGAACTGAGTCACAAAAGAAAGAGGAAAGAAAATTAACATGGGGTGACATTTAATAAATGGATATATATAGATGCATATCTATATATAGAGAGAGATACATATATATCTCCAAGATTATAATGTTAGCATGACATTTGATTCTGTCCCACTTTCAGTCCCTGCTAAGGAAATTCACAGAATGTAGAAGAGAAAATATGGTCCAAGTCCTGGAAATCAGCAAGGTCCCACCGGAAGAGTTAGACTTCTGTGGGATGAAATAGGTGAAATATATATTTTTTAAATATGAGAGAGATTTGTATATTTATATATATTTATAAGAGACAGATTTATATATTTATATATAAATATATGTATATATATTATATATATATGTATATAAAGCCCAAACTCACTATATTATTGGTTAGAATGAAGAATGCCAATTGGAATTGACATGGCCAAAGGGGGCTTTATTTATGTAGCTCACAGAGTTATATGAAGGACTGAATAGCTGAGAGAAAGCAAGAATTAGGATGCTCCAGGAAACTTTGTTACCAGAACCAAGTACTCGTGACTCTGTTTCTCTCGGCATGTCAGCTGGTTTTCTCTTACTAATTTTTTTCCCTGGGGTCTGATAGCTGGCCATTTAAATTCTTTAAGCTCACATCTTCAGAGCTTGACCATTCAAGATCTACTTCAAAAACCTTCTGGAGAAGGGCTCTGATCGAACTGGCTTGGTTCATTGTTCACCCTTTGGACCAGACAATGGGACCAGGTTGATGTGGTATCACACTGGACTTATTATTATTATTTTTTTACTGGACTTATTTAAACCAAAACTTACATAGAACTTAGTCACATGCTTACCACTGTGACTAAACATGGAGAGGAGATAGGAAAATTTCGGTGACCAACAACCCTCAATAGTATGAATCCCCTATATAATTGGAGGGGTAGAAAAGGCATTGTTAAAGAAAGAAGGAGCACTATTCCTGGAATAAGAGAGAAACTATGAAACAAAAGCTGTCCGCCATAGACATTACTCAGTTCACCTAAGATAAAACTGATAAAAGGATTCATGATCCAGAGGGACTGAGACTGTTACCCTAACCCCATCCAGCATACTTGAGAAGTTATTCATATTTTCGCACTTGCTACATCCTGAGAAAAACTGCAGACCCCATCCTCCTCTTTACTGTGGGGAAGCAAACCACACTTCTTGTTTCCCTTATCCCAAATACAAGATATGCCCTGGTATGCTCTCCACCCACTGCTCTGTCCCTGCCCAGACCTACCTGAGTACTGAAGGAATGTATATCAGCTGGGAGTACTGCTTAATCTAGAGGTACATGGATAAAGCTAAGCAATAAAGACTAAGCACATCAGGAGAATCAGCAGCTTCAAAAGAGGAAGGAAACAAACAATTACACTTCACCAAAGCAGAGGAAACACTCTCACTGAAAACAGAGGAAATGAAGAAAACTAGAAAGGCATTGAAAAAAATCTGTTTTTTACTTTTGATAAAATTTTAGGGATATGACAACAACAGATAAGATCAGAGTGCTATGACAAAAGAGTAGGGGGCAGCTGTGTGGCTCCATCAGTTAAGGGTCTGACTCTTGATTTAGGCTCAGGTCATGATCTCAGGGTCATGAGATCGAGCCCCATGTGGGGCTCCATACTGAGCATGGAGCCTGCTTAAGATTCTGTCTTTCTCCGTCTGTCTCTCCCCACCTTCCCCTACCCATCTCCCTTCCATCCCCCCATCCCCCACCCCCACTCAGGCACCTGCTCTCTCTCTCTTTCTCAAAAAAAAAAAAAAAAAAAGGCAGATTGAAGGCCAGGAAGAGTGCATGATAATAGTAAAAATATTCTCATTAGAATTGTTTAAATGTTAGGGGCATCTAGGTGGCTCAGTCAGTTAAGTATCAGATTCGTGGTTTCAGCTCAGATCATGATCTTCTCATGGGTGGTGGGATTAAGCCCTGCAATGGACTCTGCACTCAATAGGGAGTCTACTTGAAAGATTCTCACCCTCTGCCCATTCCCCCCTAAAATAAATAATTCTTTAAAAAATGTTTGAATGTTATAGCTGTAATCAATGATATAGAGAATATTGCCAATAGGAAACATTGATAGGCCCAGTGCAATATGCCAGAAGCACAGACCCACAGCAACAATGACTGGCCCAAGCATAGTGGAATTCTTTTTCTCTGAGGAATCAGTTAACACAGATGCAGTTTTAACAGTTCAAGAAACTAGAGAAACAGAAAAAGTTCCAAAATTAATTATGAATTACAAAACCTGGTAAAAAATAATTTTTAAAAAGAGACTATAGTTCAGTCTTATTCTTGAATATCATACAAAATTTTTAAATAAAATAACAACAAGCAAAATCCAGCTTTTCAAAAATATTATACATATACATACATATACATATCATAAGTAGACT